CAGTGTGGGCAGGTGGTGTGAGCAGTGTTGGCAGGTGGTGTGAGCAGTGTTGGCAGGTGGTGTGAGCAGTTTTGGCAGGTGGTGTGCGCAGTGTGGGCAGGTGGTGTGCGCAGTGTGGGCAGGTGGTGTGCGCAGTGTGGGCAGGTGGTGTGTGCAGTGTAGGCAGGTGGTGTGAGCAGGGTTGGTGCTCTTCTAAGACTATATGCTTATGCTCATCAACTTTAGTGTCATGGACACATTTTTCATCTCAGAGGACTTTGGTGATCCAATCCAATTACAGCACACAGAGCTGTTGATAAGGTTGAAAACTGCAGGAAGTTCTATGATTTGGATGTTAAATGTCCCCCAAAGACCCAGGTGTTAAAGGCTTGGTTATCAGTCTGTGGCACTTTTGGGAGGTGATAGAACCTTTGGGAGATGGGGCTTAGTGGGAGGAAGTTAGGTCATTAGGATGTGCTCTTGAATGGATATGGAATGCTAGCCCTGCCCCTCCTACAGTCCCCCACAAATGAGTAGTTTCCCTCTGCCATGTGCCAGAATGTTCTTTTTTATTAGGCCAGCAATGACTTGGTCAAGTTTCCATAGACTAAAACTGGAAATTGTGAGCCCAAATAAACTTTGGGTTTTTTGATGTTGTTGTTTGGTATGCATATGTATAGGTTCATGTTTGTGTATATACACATGCGTGTGAGGGTGCATATACATATGTATACAGAAATATTCAGGGCCAGAAAACAACCTTAGGCAGTCGTTAGGCACTGTGCACCTTTTTTGGGGGGGGCGGGGGGAGACAGATCTCTCATTGGCTCAGAGCTGGCTGAGTAGATTAGGGTGGCTGACTAGTGAGCTTCTGGGGTTCACCTATTGCTGTCTCCATATTACAAGTGCATACAACATACTGTTTTTTTTTTTTCTTTTTATCATGGATTCTAGCAGTCAGACTCAGGTCCTTGTGTTTGCAAGGAAAGCAATTTAACCCATTGAGCTACTGTCCCAGACCAACTTTTGCCCTTTTAAGTTATCTCAGATATTTTGTGAAAAAGTTGTGAGGAAGTTTTGGTACTTTTCTAAAGGCAGGTGTGGTGATTTGAAAGAATGGCCCCCTGAGGGAGTGGCACTGTTAGGAAGTGTAACCTTGTTGGAGTGGGTGTGGCTTTGCTGGAGTGGGTGTGGCCTGCTTGGAGGAAGTATATCACTGTGGGGGTGGGCTCTGAAGTCTCCTGTGCTCAAGCTACTGTCAGAGTAGCACATAGACTGCTTCTTTTGCCTTCAGATCCAGGTGTAGAATTCTCAGCTCCTTCTCCAGCTCCATGTCTGCTTGCATGCCACCATTAAGACAATGGGCTACACCTCTGAACTGTTAGCCAGCCCCAGTAAAATGTTTTCCTTTGTAAGAGTTGAGGTGGCCAAGGTTTCTCTTTACAGCAATAGAAACCCTAACTAAGACAGCAGGTTTCCTTTCCCTCCATTCCAGGGATCAACTGTGTCCACATCTCTTTCCAAAGTACTCACATTCTGCTTTCATGTAATTTTGTCCATGCAGCATTCACTGTATGCCAAGCCTAGTTCAAGTGGCTAGAGATACCTCAGTAAACATGAGTTAAGACCTCTGTCCTCACAGAGAAGCAGGCAACATTAGTCCTTTCTTCCCTCTGTAAACAGCAGGGGCTGGAGGGATGGCTCAGTGGTTCAGACAGCTGGTTGCTCTTCCAGAGGACCTAGGCTTAATTCATAGCACTCAAAGTGTAACTCATAACAATCCTGCACCCTCTTCTGGTCTCCACAGGCTCCAGGCACATACATGCTGCACAAACATACATGTAGACAAAACACCCATACACATTAAAAAAAAAAAAAAAAGACGTGGTGGGTGAAACCCACAGAAACAGCTGACCTGAACAAGGGGGAGCTCATGGACCCCAGACTAATGGCTGAGAGGCCAGCATGGAACTGATCCAGACCCCCTGAACATGGGTGTGTTAGTGAGGAGGCCTCGGTATTCTTTGGGGCTTCGGGCAATAGATCAGCATTTATTACTGGCATCCAGATGGACTTTGGGAGTCCATTCCATGTGGAGGGATGCTGTCTCAGCCTGGACACATAGGGGAGGGCCTAGGCCCCACCCCGGATGATATGACAGACTGTGGAGATCCCCCATGGAGGGCTTCATCCTCCTTGGAGAGTGAAGTGGGGATTGGGTGGGGAGTTGGGGGAAGTCTGAAGGGGGCGGGGGAGGAAGGGAGGGAGAGGGAGCTGGGATTGACATGTGAAGCAAGCTTGTTTCTAATTTAAATTAAAAAAAAGTTTAAAAAAAATCCAAGCAGCAGCAGCAGCAATCAAATGGTCACACAAACCAAGGAAGGAGAACCTCAAGAACCAGAAATACAGGAAAGACCTCAAGCCAGGATGCAAGGGGATGCCACAGAAGAGGTCACAGGTTTCAGGAGGTGGCTCCGGGTAGTGGCTTCTGGTGAGAGTAAGGGTGCACCTGAGTGCTCCATGGAAATTTCTAGAGATATCCAAACCACAGCTTAGGGGCTAAGGAGAAAAACACGATCTGTGAGAAATTCCTTGCTTGCCTTTGGCTCTTAAGAACCAGGGAATGGTTACACCAGGGAGAGAGGTATCAGCTGCTACCTCAGAGGGTGGCTACTTCTACTTTCAGGAAACAGACCTATATGACCCCTCTCCACACCCACCCCCAGAGCATTTGAGAAGTGTAGCAGACGATAAACAAGGAAGCCATTGGCATATGGTTGTCCTACCTTACGTCTAGTTGTTATTTCTTACTATGCAAAATTTGTAAATTAATGTTTATCATAGGTTGGCATGTATAGAAAAACCATGACGTATGGGGCTTGATATATCTGTGACTGCAGGCATTTACTGGATGTATTGTCATGTGTTCCACAGGGATACGGGTGCAACTACTATAGTTTTTGCAGGCCACCTACTAGGACAATGTGACATATAGTAGAAAGTGATTAGCTAAGAAAGAGCAGGACTCCCCAGCATGTGGCACCCAGTTTCTACCCTAAAAGGTGAAGAGGCAGCCAAAGGTGTGGAGGAGTCAGCTTTCCATGCAAAGGGAATCGCAGTCACAGAAGCCCGGAGACCAGAATAACTCAGAAAAGTTAGAGGAAAGTAAAAGTAGGTTGGGTTTTCAGAGTGGTGAGTCGGAGAGTAGGAAGAGCTCAAGAGTTGCTTTCTTCCCAGAGTGGAGGAGAGCCTGGTAGGTCTGATCGGGGCAGGGCATGATTGGGGGATGGTAGAGCCTGCCCATCAGAGTGTTGCTCTGCAGCACTGCCCTTTCCTACTCCTCCTCACCCCATTGCCCTATCTACCCAGTCTTGACGTGTGTTTTCACAACAGCGTCACAATGGAGTCATTAGGTGTTCTCTGTAACTCGCAGTGGCCAGATTCTGATGAGCAACTGTTCAGCGGCGTCACTGTTACAGTCTCATCTAAGCAGATGGAGCCACGTGGAAGGGTGCTTTCTTGCTCTGGCCTCGACTTGACTCATCTCAGGCTGTTGTCGGAGAAGCTGCATGCCTCTGTGTGGTTGGCATGCTAAGGGTAGCTTTCCTACTTCTTGGGTCTTTGTTTTCCCACAGTTCCCTGAGGATTGGCTGTGCCTACTTGGTTCCGCATCAGCTCCGCAGAAGCCTTTTTAGTATTTGAAGCTGCTTTTTTGTTTGTTTGGTTTTTTTGGATAGAACATTCGGACCTTTCCTGACAGTTCTTGGGGGTCTCTTTGGAAGGTTCATTTCCCTGCTAGGTTTCTTGCATGGAAAGGTGTAACAGCTCAGGAAGACAAGAGGGGACAGGTCAAAAAAGCCCTTCAGTGACTCTCCTGGGCTTTGGCTAAAGGCAACTAGAATAACTAGGCCTAGAGGTTGTGTATTCACTATGTATGAAGACCCTCCCACCACCTGGACTGCTGAGAAGGAAAACTCAACTATCCTTATAATGCCCAAAGGCAACTAATACTGAGTCTAGATGGTAACCATGGAAACCTCCCATTATTGTGAACAGCCCACCACCAGAACAGGAGTCTTTTTTTTTCTCCCAGAGGGATGGTATTAAGTGCTTTGCCTCCCTGTTTCCTCACCACCACCCCACAATACCTGGGTTAGAGTTCAGGTACCCAAGAATAAGAGCTGACACTCAGAGCCGGGGATGGTCACACCAGTGACAGAGGCATTAGCTGTGACCTCAGAGGGTGGCTCCTTCCATGTTCAGGAAACAGACCTATATGACTATCCCCTGGAACATTTGAGAAGAGCAGCAGGAGACAGGAGGTGAAAGTATGGGGATGGAGATGGCAAAGATGACATCCAGAGGGCCGGTGGGAGACGGCGGGTAGGCATGGGCTGTCGGTGTCTTTGGAGATGCTATTAAGGGCATTTATGAGGCAGCACTCATGTCAGGAGTCCCATCTGACTGGCATCAATAAGCGTCTCTGTTCCATTCTGGAAGGAAAGCCTTAATTAGGCATGAAGAGATTTATCAACCAGCAGCCTCTTGGAGCCATTGGTTTCTCTGCCATCTGGATGGATGGTTTCTCACCCAGCAACAACGGCAGTGGGAATGATGAATAAGGTCCCACAGCTCAACCCTCTGGGGTCTGAGAAAACCCAAGTGGTGTCTGTGCTTCCCAGAAACAGTGAAAATCTGCCCATGGTGATGGGCACATGTGCTGGAGTTCATACCAAGGTTCACCCTAGGAAGATGCAATGGTGCCTGGGGCAGCCAAGCCCACATCTAGCTAAAGTCAATTTTTAGCTTTATAACGAATGCTCCAACCACATGGATTTATAGAAAAAGCCCTAGAGTGAGGGTAGAGCTTTGGTGAAAATTTCATGTGGGCCTTTGACTCAGTTCAATGACCTATTTATTCTGCTTGGGTCCAACCCACGTGACTTTTTTGGAAGGTTCTTGTGACATGGTAGATGCAAAATGTCTTTGTTCACTATAGAGGCCTCTGCAGACAACCAGGATTTAATCCAACAAACATTTATTGAGCAACTGCTATGTGCTATGCACCACGCCGAGTGCTGTGATGGACACAGATGAATAAAACAGTGCCTGCCCTGGGCAAGCTCACAGTCTAGGAACGGACATAGGACGAGTGCACAAGTAGCTATAATACAAGGCAGAATGTGGTAAGTGCCATGAGAAAGTTACAAATAAAGTGCTGTGGTGGTTCCGTGGAGGGAGAGATCCCAACTGGTGGGGCATGGGGGGCTTCGTGGAGGGTGTGGTCTCTGCACGGGCCTTGGAAGAACTCAAGAGCGATGCAGAAGATGAGGACTGTAAGGCCAAAGGCACAGAGCCAGGAAACATGGCACCTTTTCCAGTAATGACAACGCTTCTGGATTGGCCAGTGCAGGGTATGAAGTGGCCTGATTGGGTGCTCTGTAACGGTAGGATAAAGATGGGCACATTTTTCTGGGCCATGGGATCTTATCAAGGATTTTGAAGGACTGGAGGTACAGACCATTGTCCTGCTCAGGGAGGTATGGGAGAGGACACCACTATAAAGGGGTTCGAGGGACAAGTAGAGGCGAGGTAGGGACTAGTCGGAAAGAGTGATGAGGGATTGCATGGAAGAGTCAGTGGTCGTCGTAGGGTCCCAGATTATGTTGAGAGAACCATTGGTGTTCCAATGGGAAGACAAGGGATCATGCAGGGAAGACAGAAGGTCTGCTTAGCTTCAGATGTGTTGAGTTCAAGATGTCAGAGCAGATGTGTAATAGGCAGCATGTTATCCTGGGGCATTCAGTGGAGCTAAACAGCTAAGCAGAGTGGAAGGCGTTCTTTGGGTGGTGGTAGCTAGGTCTGAAGGAAGGCATGGAACTTATGGTTCACCGTGCATGGGTCTGTGGGGAGGGTCTTATTGGAAGGAATGGCTACTTTGTGGTACAGGGAGAAGAGAAGGAAAAATGGGCTGATCTTTCTTGACTCCCTTTTCAGCTCAAGGTAGGAGTGCCAATAAATACTCATAAATACATAAATAAATATATAAATAATGGTCATGGAAGTTGGGATGGCAGGGGTAAAATCTTAAGAACAGAGTGTCTTGCCCAGGAGAGTTCACCGTAGAGCTCTGCAGTGAGAGAGGCCTTTTGAGCTAGCACATGGATGACACTGAGATGCTGGTCCCAGCAGTGGGCTAGGAGGGGACACTAAGGTGTGGTCAGGGGAATTGGTGGCAATAGGGACTGGAGACCTTGCCAAGGACTGGAAGTGGAGGAATTAAATGAACAGCAAGAGGGCCAGTGAAGAGACTGAGGGTGTGAGAGGAAAAACTCCCTGGCCAGAGGGACCTCACTCCCACGGAAATGGGAGAATGAAGGTTAAGTGGGAGGCAGAGGCCAAGAGATTCTGAGGAAAGGTCTCTGTCAAACACCTAGGGTTTTGTGTGTGTGTGTGTGTGTGTGTGTATGTGTGAAGGCAGAGGTTAAGGGTAGAGTCGCTGAGGGCTGGAAGTAAATGGGGGCCTGGTTAGCTTACGTGAATAGACTGAGGCGGTGACTGATAGCCAAAAGTAGAGGGGACCGACCGACCGAGGCTTATGTGATGCTATGATTGATTGTAGTGCAGCAATAAGGCTAAGAGTGCAAGCTGTGCCTTCTGGTGGCCAGCCAGGGACAACCAACCTATGTTAAAGACTTCAATGGAACCCAGTCCCAAGTGAGTTCTCAGAAGGCAGTCAAGGACACTTGGCTGCTGGAGAAGAACAAGGATAGGAAACACTAAGGCCCACAGAATTCTTGCTGCTATATGCTCAGATCATTTTGACAGCCTAGGTCCTGTTGAGTTAGGGAAAGGGCATATACAGGTAGTCCTGGGATTGCTGACTTTTTCCGATCACGTTACATCCTGCTTAAGTCTAGTTAGACTACTGGCTCTCTAATTCCTCTGCAGGGAGAGGATTCTAGGTGGCGCTCAGGGTCACCCCCAGAACCTGACCTCTGGGCTGTCTTCATGATTCCACATGGGATGTTCGGACATCCAAGGGCTTTGCTAATACAAGACCCTGCTGGTGATTTTACCTATCCCTCCAGGGCGCTGCAAACTTAGAAATTAAATGTCTTCTGGAGCCTTTGAGATCCTTAAGATGAAAGGCCCTGGAGACATGTAAAATATGGTACTAATTATTTCCACCGTTCATGAGGAGGCTGAGCCACTCAGTTCCCAGGGAGGCTGTTAGGGCTGTTGCTTTTTTAAATATTCATTTTGTGATGCAAATCCCAAACCACATGCTTCATACTGCAACCAGAATGAAGAGAGAAACATGGAGATGTACAACCCTCACCCTGGTTTGGGGCCAGAGGGACTGTACACGGGGTTAATGTACTCTAGGGTGTCCCTCCATCTCTCTGCTCATTTCCTGTCAGCCATTAATTTAGAGCAAATGTTGTATTCTGAATGGCTGTTGATTAATTACGTCAGACCTCATGTGCTTGGGAGCGGATCTTGATTACATTTCTTAACTCTGTTCACCTTCAAGATAATAGCTCTTTTTCTTATCTTTCAAATATGTTTTAAAGAACCATTATTTATCAGGTGAGGGACTGCATCTAACAAATCAAGCTGCATGAGGGTTTGCTGCGGGTGACCTCTAAGTCCAACCCCTAAGTTATTGGCAGTGAGCCCAGATTTCCCCTGGAGATTATGTCCAGTGTTTGGAACTGTGTTTGGCGTTGGGCTTTGACAAGAAAAACAAGTCTTACGTGTGAATCTTAATAGAGAGGGGGAAGGATTTTGCAAAAACTGTGCAGTCATTGCCTGTGTAGGGGGCGAGGGTGGGCAGGTGTGTAGAGTGGACATTGGAACCTCTCCCAGAAGAGTTGAAAATCTCCATGGTGGAGCTTGGTGTGAGCAGGCATGACTGTCAGGATGGGTGACACTGGCACAGTGGTCTGGCTGCAGGGGACCCTCAGAGTGAAGGACGCGGAAAGCAAACAGAGTGACCATAGAGACCCAGAGCCAGCTGCGTCAAGTCTTCCAGGTGTCCAGGTCTGGGGCTCTGTGCGGTGCCAAGAAAGGTGACTGGATGCGTGTTGAACAGGATGATGCCTATTGTGACTGTGCCCTTCCAAGCATTGGCTGTGTCTTTCTGGTGGTAGGCATGACAGTAGAGTTCCCTCTTGTGACATTCTTAGAGGATGGGATGAAGGCTAACCCGGAAGTTGAAGTCCCAGGATCACTCCTTCCTCAGTTGCTTCAGAGTGCACCCAACAAAATGACTATATTTTGGACACTCTTTTTGTCCTTTTCCGAGGCAGACCAAACCCCTGGAAGGTCTCAAGTTTCTGTAACCATGGTTTAGAACACTCTACCTCTTCAGGACTGTCTGCTGCTCCACTCTCCTAAGTCCTGGGTGGTCCTTGTGTAGTCAGAATATGGGGCTGTCCGTTGAGTTTCCTCCAGCCTCTCTCAATGCCTGCGAAGGCCTGTCTGGGACACAGGTGCTACCCATGCTTGTACTTTGGGCAGTTGCACTTTCAAGTTCATGAACAAGGCCCTCAGCTCTGTTGTGACCGCTGATGTTTGATCTTGTGCCTCTTTGCCCAGTGGAACTCTCCAAGTCTCTCCTCCATGAACTGCACCTCTTTAGACTGGTCCAAACTGTCCTTTCTGGGTCTGGGCTTCCCAGAATCCACATCACTCAGAGGTTCAGGGAAGCTGACAACAGGTGGCTCTCCATTCATCCATGAGCCCAGAGATCCGTCCAACCCAGGAGGCAGGTTCTCATCCAAAGTCATGGGACTGGCTTCTTTGCATGTCAAGTCCTTTTGCCCCCAAAGATGGACTGAGTCTCCATCTGGTCCAGGTGGGTTCTCCACACCTTCTTCCTGTGGCTTATCTGCCTAATGCTAGATGAACACCACACAGTTATAAATACTCAGGTCAATATATATATGCAGGTATAGATATATATATTCTGGTCACTGTTTTACACTTTAACAAAGAAAACCACTAGCCTGCTTGTCCTATTGTTTGTGCCACCCCGACCCCCATCTGCCTGTGGTGTAGCCGGCAGGAAAGTGAGCCACCGAGTCCCATGGGCCGCCATCCTTACGTAGCCCCATCACACTGGCCGACAGTCAGTTTCAATGCCCCCTGCTCATGCAGGCTCTTGAGAGCCTTGAATTCCAGGGGCATGGTGTGGGGGCTGGCCTGGGAAGTGTAGCCATACTTGAGGCTGTCATAATAGTGGTACTTGACAGGGTTCTGATTCTGATCCAGTGGAAAGGGCCAGAAGCCATAGAGGTAGATCTGATTGCAGAAACGTGTAGCTAGGGTATACATCAGGAGGCCAGTCGTCGGTCTTTTTATGTGGACTTTGTTGGTCAGCCAATATCTGGATAAGAAAAAAAAGTTAAAAAAAAGAAACAGTGAAATCTGGGAAGATGGGTCAGTTGGTGAAATGCCTGTCTTGCAAGCATGAGAACCTGTTTGGATTCCTCAATACCCCATGTGAAGGCCGGCCAGTAACCAGTTGTTCAGGGGCAAATGCATGCATTCACACATTCATTCACAAATACACAAATGTGCACACACACACACACACACACATGCATCCACTCACAATATACATTATAAACAAGCACATATGGAAGCGATGAAGAAATGTGTTTGTAAATACTTCCAAGAAGGAAGAAATTCTATTCTGCCCAGCAGCCCACTACCTGCCACACCAAGAACCAGCCACAGACCCCAGGCTTTCTCTCAGAAGATTGACAATGCCTGCTGGTTAAGCATCTGGACTACACCTTGAGTTGTACTTTCCTGTACACGAGTCTGCAAGGTCTGGGACACCAAGATAAAGCCTGGTACCCCAAGGTCACCCATATGAAAGGGTACCTTGTCTTGAACGTAGACCCGTTAACAACTGAAACAGGGTTAGCAGTTTTTTTGTAATGGGCTGAGTGATACTTTTGAACTTGCAACCATGTGGCTTCAGTTATGACTATGAAACACACTGTAGTGAAAGCATGAAAAAGCCACTAAAAACATGCATGGGTGTGTCCAGGCTTGGTCCTGATCCCTCTTAAAGCGTGTTAGTTTCCACAGCACTCACTGCCTTACAGACAGTTCCATTAGTCTACTCCACTTAAGCATGTTATATAGGTAGACATCTTTCTTATCAGTATTCCCAGAAATCCCATCCTCTGAGGCAGCTGACCTTCCCTGACCATGTGACCATGTGTGTAACTTCTCTACAGAGCCAAGGGGCTCTGGGCTGAGATGCTGGATTCTGTCTACACATCTTTCCAAAGATCTGTCACTCAATCTTATTGTCCCTCTTGAGTGGGGAGTCAGTGTTTCCTGCCTTTGGGACTCTGTCAAACGGAGATTGGAGAAACCATGGGGAAGTGCGGAGAGCAGGGCGTTAGATGAGGCATCCCAAGTGAGTGGGGGTACTGTGTGTCTCTGTGTACCTTAGCCAGAACCAGAGCAAAGAAGGGACCATCTGCACTCTGGATGAGGAACCATACCTAGAGTATGGAGGTACGTAATCCGGATGGTTCTGTTGTTAGCTATCTGTGTTTTGAGAAAGTCACTTCTCCCTGATGGACCTCATTTTTCACACTGCAGGTTCCAACATCCAAAGAGAATCTAGAAAATTCCGTACAAGTGAGAACTCTTCTGCTTTATGGATCTAGAGCTCACTCTGAGTGGCCCCTACCTCTTTATTTGCAGTGGAGGCTCTGCGTGTCCCTGTGTGAATGGCTTTAATTCTGTTCCAATGCAGAGGCAGAATTGCTGACCACTGGGCTGGCCTAAAGTGTCTCTAAACCAGACCCAGACTACGATGTTCTGTCTTTTAACAAAAACTTCCATGGGACTGCATCCCACAGGCTCCCAGTTGCCACTCTTCCACTGAAGTGAAGGCTGGTGCTATTCTGATGGCCCCGCTTACGACTTTATCCTCAAGTGAGCCAACTGAATTCATGCTGGAAGTAGAAGGACCCCAGACCAAGGCATTTCCTCATTGTTGAAGGGTAAGACTGTTTTTTTTGTGTGTGTGTGTGTGTGTGTGTGTGTGTTCTTCACATTGATTTTAGCTGGTGGGGAGGGGTGGTGGGAAAGGCTTCTTAGAAGCCCAAGAAACTCTTTTACCCACAATGGCTCTTTCTGTAGCTCAAATAAGGAAAACCGAAAGATTCCAGAGTCAATCCTAGAGGACTTCCTTGCTTCTTTGTTTGGAGGAAGCATTAACTTCTAGATCAGATGAAGTCATGATGCCTAAAGACCCATGTAATTACAGTAAAGTAAGTCATATTTGTAAGGCTTGACCAAATAAAAGGTATTTTGAAGGCCCCCCCAACAACCAACCCCCCCAACAGCACTATCTGTCTGGTGTGATCTGAATGTCATTTTGGACCTTTGGATAGGGGGCTGTGGGCCCAGATGGTCACAACCAGGCCTACGATTCTGGGCACAGCAGGGGCTGGGTGGTCCTTTGGATAACTAACCATGGTTGTTCTGTAAGTCTGTTACTTGGAGACCCTCTTCCTTGTGCCTCTTCCTATTTTATCCTGTCTGAACCTAGAGAATTCCTAGCACCTGGATTTTTGAACAGAGATTCAGATGGAGTGACAAAGAGAACTATGCAGTGGCTTTGGTAACTGCAGCCACAACACAACTGAAGAACAGCACGGAGCAAGTCTGTGGACACAGTGCAGACCTGTTCTTCCTTCTCCATACTGATGAAGTTCCTATGGTGATGGTCCATGGTCCTCCAACGCCCTCTGAAAGACTCCTGGGCATCTCTCGGGAACCTTTCCCTGTTCCTCATGCCATCCAAATTCCACAGGGGATGCTCTGCCAGACCTTCCCTGGTTATACTTCTGGCTTCTCCTTTCCCTCCTTGCAGCAGCCTTCCCAGGATGAGTGGCCACAGCTGTCCTAGACTGTCCCGTAGTGCGTTCCCCTATCAAGATTCTGTTGCCCTTTTGTTCTGGTCTCAGGGTTGTACATGAGGTCAGCTGTGTAATGATTTCTTTCCCAGGCTGCTGGAGTCTCATGGAACTGCAGTGCACATGGGTGCCTTTTCCTTATACTGGGCTCTTGGTGGGTCATCTGGGCTCTTGGTGGGTCATCTGGCTTGCCACCTCTGTGCTGGGGAGCCAGGACTATGAAGAAGTGGATTGTCACTCAGGAGGAGGGAGGGCTGATTTCAGAATGGGGGTCTGTGTTTAGTCTTTCCTCCCCTTACACTGAGATTCCATGGAGCTATGCCTACTTTCTGTGGGTTAGGCAGGGACAAGGATTGGGGTGCCACTGCTCTAAAAGGAAATATACTGAGAATGTGAGGGGCAGCCTATGTGTCCAGGGTCCAGGATGGGGTAATTGATGTCTCTACGTGGCTGGAAACTTCTTTCCTCTGGTCACAGGGAGGCCTGGGTAGATTGAACTCAGAAGTACCATGACTGCCTCTTGGGTCTGCTCTGCTCCCCCACAATGCAAACAGGCCTGGAACTCTAAGGAGGGTTTCTCCCTAGGTCTCCTGAGCAGGAGGAGAGATGAGCCAGGCTGGATTTACATAGGACTCACACTATGTAGCCCTGGGGTTCTCTGGCTCTGAATTGATGGGGGCGGGTAACATCAGCCAGCCTTCCTATAGATAGGATAACTCCATGAAGGACCATGATGCTGGAGACCCTAAGTCAAGTGAGGGATTAATGCCACGAATCCACAGGATACCAGAATTACTTATTGCAGTGACTTGGGTGTTTCTGAAAGGCTGCATTTAGTGATGTTTCCTTCCAACTGTCCCATGTTGCAATATTATTCTGAGCTCTTGAGAAGAATTTCATACTTTGATAAAGGTTCATCCTGTGACCCTTATCCTTCCTCAACCATGATGACTGTTCTTGGTTGTCAACTTGACTACACTGGAATTAACTAACCCCCCCCCCCAAATGGGGAACATCTGTGAGGGATTTTTGCTTAATTTGAAGTAAAAAGATCGACTTCTAACCTGGATCTTTGAGGTGGGAAGATATACCTTGAATACAGATCATTTGAAGCGGGAAGACCCACCTCCAATCTGGGCATGGAAGAAAGACATTTTTACTCTTTGCCTGCTTGCTTTCACTTTGCTAACAAGTCCATTCATTCAGTGGCGTTAGAGCCTACTTCCCCAGGATTCTGGTGTACACTGAAGACAGCTGAGACATCCAGCCTCGCGAACTGAACAACTACTGGATTTTTGGATTTTCCATTCACAGTCATTGTCGGATTGGCTGGGCCACAGTCTATAAGTCATTCTAATAACAATCCTCTCTCTCAGTTCATCCTATAAGTTGTGTTACTCTAGAGAACCTGACTAATACACCGACCATTCTACCCACATTCCACAGCCATGCCCTTCCCACTGTATCTCAACTGGGGTCTGGCCCTGACTTCAGTGGCTCTCCCAGTTCCCTACCCCTCACCCAGAGTTTCACATAGTGGCCATACCACAGACGGAAGCACTAGGTAGGTCTAAGGAGTAGGTGAGGTCTTACTTGGTGAGGGGTTGAACTGGGGCTCCCCTTGTCAGGCCCTCGGATCCCATATGCATGTTTTGTCTTTTGTGGTCTAGCCCTAACACTGCATGGGAGGCCGGGAAGGTGGCTGGTGCTAGCATGTGGGTCTGCCCGTGGGGCTATCTGTTTATTCACCAGCTAACAAGAAGGATGGGCCTGGGGCTGCTTGATGCTGAGTTGGGACTCCTTGGTCACCATGGCACTCTCTGTGCTCAACCGGGCCCAGAGATGGACTTGGGAGGGCCCTGGAGAACAAAGGCTGAGAGCCTGTAAAGAGGCGACTCCCGGTGACACTGCGAATGGGTATGAAGGGACTTTTGGCAGTGATAAAAGTATTTAAAGTGGGGTTGTGTGGCTAACTTCACAATGGTATGTTTACAACTCATCAAACTACAATACATACATTAATAGGCATTGATTATACTCCAATAAAGGGTTTTTGTTGTTATTGTTGTGTTTCTGATTTTCTTTGTGCTTTTAAAGATGACTCTCAGAAGGACAGCCAATGATCGTAGTTCCTCCCACATGTCCTGGGAAATGTTCATCTACCTCAACTGACACACATTCAATAGTGGGCAGCTTGCCCTTTGCTAAGCGAGCCGATTACATTTCAACCCTAACGCAAAGGTTCTTAATTTAGTTGCCCACTGCAACGCCAGGAGCTTTAGGAGATACCTAGGGCCCACTCCCAGGAGCCTACACACAGAGATTCCTATAATGTTCTCCACTAACTCCTGCTCTGGCTAGGTGGTGGATCTATAGAAAGAGCCCAAATACTGGTTACATTTGGAAGGGAAAGGGGAACGGAGGAAATGTCAGGGCA